TTTTTTTTTTTTTTTGAGGCAAAGTCTTGTTATGCAGTTCAGGCTAGCCTTGAACTCACTATGTAGCTAAGGCTGGCCTTGAACTCAGAGATCCTCCTGCCTCAGCCTCTCGGGTACTGGGATTGCAGGTGTGCACCACTATGGCTGGCTAAATTAAACTGTTTTTTCCTGGTTATTAGCTATGTGGATGGCAAGAGATTTGCTGTAATGTAATCATTACATTACACTACAGGAGAAGGGTTCAGATTCAGACACTAATTCCAGTTCCCAGCTGGGGGACCCTGACTAGGTGGCATAGCCTCCGACCCTTCATTTCCCTGTGTGTACAGGGAAGCTGATAGGACCTGTTCCTCTGTGAGTCTTACAGATTAAATGAGATAAATTAGGTAATGAACATCAGCCTACACACAGTTAACACCCAGGAAGTCCTTGCTGCTCTCGTTATCGTTGTTTTAATGGGAATTAATAAGTCTTTGTCCACCCGCTCACCCAGCAGATGTGAAGGGGCTGCACTGGCCCTGGGGGCCCCGGAAGCTGATAAAGCCATTTCTGGGGGGACCCTGGGTCCTCTGTGGTTCTACAGCCAAGTAGAGTAGGAAGATGGGGCAGAGACCACCACAGGGGTTTTCAAGGCCGGAGTTCCCCTTGGGGACTGCTGTGCTGTGCACACCAGGGATCCTTGGGAAACTGAGGCAGCCTGTGGATGCCCTGGTCCCCACTCCTAAGGCCCTGTAGACTAAAATGGCACCGCTTTCATCTCGGGTGGCCCCAGGCAAGGGCTTTGAAGAGTTAAGGCCAAGGGCCAGGCTGGCTTTTCCTGAGTGCAGAAGGGAGTCACTAACACCGGGACCTTCGCCACAAATAAACTACTTCGTGAGAAATTTCTTCTAGGGGAAAAACACCAAAACCCCCCAGCTTTTCCCCTTACCTGAGCATCAAAAAAAAAAAATTCTATTAAGGCATTTCTCAGGTTCAAAGGCCACACCTCTGCCTTGAGGGTTCCAAAGCCAGGACCCGAATCCCTGGTGGGAGACTTTTCCCCAAATGTGTGGGGTGACAGGTATTTGAATAATACAGTGCTTCTCCTGTCATTTGGAAACCAGTGATGAAGTGAGCTCTATTTTTACACAAAGTGCAGCACATCTGATGTGTGTGGGGTCTTAGATGTGCGTGACTTCCTGTGTCCGACACCACTGTAAGTGGAAACAGTGAGTGCAAAAGTAGTTCAGTGTTAGTGTCCACTGAAAGAGCTTTTATTTCTGTTCTGTTTTGTTGAGACAAAGTCTCATTATGTAGTCCAGGCTGGCCTTGAACTTGCAGCGATCCTCCTGCCTCAGCCTCCTGAGCACTGGGATCACAGGTGTGCACCACCACGCTCCGCAGGAAGAGCTTTTAGAATTAGACAAGTTGGTTCGTATCTTGGCTTTGACACTGAACACGTATGTGACCTTGGTGATCTGCTCCAGCCACATGTTCTCATCTGAAAATCGGGATCACAGTCTCTCTCTTTCACTGGAGTAGAAGTAATGAGAAATCTGTAGCAGGTCCTGGCCACCTCAGAAGTTGAGATTTTACCACTGACCATAGCAGAGAATGGATCTTTGCAGCCCACGGGGTGGGAGGGAATAAATTTTAAATGACAGGTGTCTGTGTCATAAGTGATTAGAGGTCATAGGGCATGGTTCTTTCCATCGCTGTAACAAAATACCTGAGATGGTCAACCTCAAAAAAGGAAAGGTTTTTGGCCCACAGTTTTAGAGGTTTTTAGGCTGTGTGGCTGCTTGCAGAAATGCACTGGGCCCGGGCCAGGCGGGAGGATTCCCAGGGTCTCCTTCCAGGACATACCCAGGCCACGCTCACAGTCACTTAAGACCGCCCACTAAGCCCCACTTCTTAAAGGAGCCACACCTTCCAGTGGCACCAAGCTGAAGACCAAGCTGTAATTTGAGGCCCCTTGGGGGACCTTCCAGATGCTAATGCTGGCAAGTGGGAAGGGTTATTTACTCATAAGCGTATTTGATCCCCTTGGGAATGACTCTTTTGGAATGCACAGTCCGCAGTTCACTTGGTGCTCTTCATTTTTCAAGCTTTCCCAGGTCTTGCATGTAGGAAGCGGCTCTGGTTACCAGACTGGCTGCGGTAGGTGAGCTCTTGTCCGGGCCATTTCCTACCTCCCGCGGCCACCTCTCAGCACCTGGCTGGATGAGAAGGGCACGGAGGTCAGTGGGGCTCTGGGTGGTCCCTGTCTCCTGGGGTGGCCCCACCCCCAGGCCGCTGCCTCCTGGCAAGCGGCTACCCACAGAGCCCTTGTGCTGCGAGGTGGCAGCGAGTGACCTTGACCTCGGGACCTTCTTCCTCCCCTATATTCCCAGCTGCTGGGGATGGGATGTGCGACCATGGTCCCCGCCTCCCAGCCCTGCCGCGACCTTGCTTTGAAGCTGCAGACTCTATTTTTAACGTTAACTTTATTTTACATCCTAGTCCACCACCATACGTGCATGTTTATTTTACTGTAAAGACTATTTCCCCCTAACTTTTAAGCCAGATACATTCTCTGGGAAGATGTTTTATGTTTTCCTGTGACTCCCGCTACTCCAACGCAGTGACTCTAACCTTAGGCTGAGAAAATAGCGTGATGAATGCTTACATGGGATTGTGATGAGAAATGAATAGTTTTATCTAAATGCTCTGTGAGTGTGTGAGTGTGTGTGTGTGTGTGTGTGTGTGTGTGAATAGTACTGGGGATTCAACCCAGGGTCTTTACACTAGCTAATTCCAAGCCTTTTTATTTTGTGATGGGGATCTCACTAAGTCTTTAAATTGTCCAAGCCTAGACTTAAATTTGCAATCCTCCTGCCTCAGCCTCCCAGAGTGCTGGATTATAGGCGTGCACCACTACCCCTGGCTCAAAACTTTTTTAAAAAAGCCCTTTTGTCCTAGGTGACTTGTTGGTTGAGGACTTGAGACTTTGGTTTTAGGTAGAGAATTATTAAAAGGCTATAACTCAAATCTAAACATTTTGTTTTAGCTTATAGCACATCTGTATGCATTGGTTCACCAATCTTAACAAGGGACTGAGGGCTTTCATCCGAGTGGGTAGGAAGTTCTGGTTAATGCTACAATTCGTAACTCTGGCTCCTCCTTTACACTTGTTTTGCCCACTGAACTCCACAGAAAGTTTGTTTTAGTGATTTGCCTTCCTTGGCTCTCTAAAACACTCAGTTTCATAGCAGGCACAGTGGTGCACACCTGTAATCTTAGCACGGGGGAGGCTGAGACAGAAGGGTCACATGTTCAAGGCCAATGGGTACGCAGCAAAGCGCTATCAGAAATCAAAAACCAAAACCAAAAACTGAACAAACGACCATTCAGCTTCACTTGGGCTCCTTCTTGCCACACCCACGTTCCACCCACTATGCAAAGGCCACACGGGTGAAGACACCGGGGAGGAAGTGGCATTGGGTTGGAGCAGCACAGGAAGCCTCGCTGGTGCACAGAGCCCTGCCTGTCCTGATGTCCTGACGCTGAGCAGGCAGCCGGTGGCTCTGGGCGGCAGCATGCTAAGCCTGAGGGTCAGAACGCTAGGAGGGGAGACCTGGGATCCGTGAGTGAGCAGGTGACACCATCCTGTCCCTTTGCATTGTCCGGGGAGAGGCCGTGTGGCCCAGACTCGAGGGCAGGACTCCAGAGTCTGCCTCGATTTGAGCCTTGCCTCACTGTCCTCTCTGCACAGGTTTTGTGGGGTTTTGTTTTCTTTTACCACCTTGGGCTCTGCTCATTTTCTTATTTATTTATTTATTTAGAGACAGTTTATTTATTTATCTGCAGACCAGGCTGGCTTTGGACTCTCAGTAATCCTCCTGCCTCAGCCTCCTGAGTGCTGGGATTACAGGCGTGCACCACCACACCTGGCTGCCTACTTCCCTCATTCTTTCTCTTTTCTTTCTTTCTTTCCTCATTCTTAACCAAAGGCCTGCCTGGGGGGCCCTCTGGATGAGGCCATAATAAAATGGGCATCAGACCTCAGACTGTGGGTGCCTGATCTGACCCAGAGGACCGGCCTCATTGATGAGGGAGAGATCTGGTTCTGGAGCAGAAGTGGCCCAGACAGGTGCTGTGGGGGTGGAGGAGCAAGGGCCCCTGTGGAGGGAGACACTGGACGGTGTGGCTGCTGGGGTCCCTCCTTTGGCCCGTGTGGACAGGCTTGACTGCAAACTTGGGACCTCAGAAGATGGGGGGCCCGGAAACTGGGTGGAGAAGGAGGCTTGAGTGGTGGGCCAGGGACAGTGGCCATCTGCAGGGCTGATGTGAAGAGCAGGGGGTGGACTGCAGGGAGCTGTCGTCCCGGGGTGGGGACCCACGTCCACTGTCACCCTGCGCACACGCGCGCGCACGCGCGCGCGTGTGTGTGTGTGTGTGTGTGCGCGTGTGTGTTTGTGTGGTTAGACTGATACCAAGATAGAAGAGAGGAAGTGGGATTTGCAGTTTGAAAAATAGTAAGCGACTTCGGAGATTGTGACTGGAGAATTTCGAATTTGAGGCCAGCCAGGGCCATTTAATGAGATTTGTCTCAGAAAAATAAATAAAATCGATAAAAGTAAACTGCGGCATTCTGTTAACCTAGGAGGGTGGCTTTAGACGGCAATAACGGACTGTAATGCTTTGCTTTGCTTTGAGGCTGGAGATGGAGCCCTGGGCTTCGAGCATACTCAACCTGTAACCGTACACTGCACCTCACCCACTGCCCCTGTAGATTTCAAAACACACCAGAAGGACTTGGAATGTTTTTGTTGCATAGAAATGCTGTTTGAGGAGAGAGATCCGCTTACCCTGATTTACTATCACAGTATACACACATCGCATGTACAACTTTTTTTTTGTACCGGGGATCAAACTTGGGCCCTTGCGCTTGTGAGGTAGGCGCCGGAACCACTGAGCTAAATCTTGGCCCCCATGTACAACTTTTACAGGTGAGTTTTTTAAAGCTGTAAAACAGATTTGCCAGAGGAAGAAAAAAACCATTATCCGCTTACCCTGGACCACCCAGTGGTTCTTAAATTTTGTCAGGTTTTAAATCCTTTTGCAAATGTACTGGAACATTTTGTATGTAATTTGAGGGGAGTTGCTGAGACCCCCCCTAAGTCCATCCCCAGACGCTACTGGGCTTCATGGAAGAGCTGTGTGGATTCAACCTCTGGATCTGACCTCTGATTTCTCTGTGCCCATTTTGAGCTAGGTGTGTGGCACACACCTATAGTCCCAGCACTTGGAGGCTGAGGCAGGAGGATCGCTGTGAGTCTGAGGCTAGCCTGGATACCTAGTGATGATTCCAAGGCCAGCCTGAGCTACATAGCAAGATCTGTCTCAAAAGACCAAGCTAGAAAGTCTTGAGATGTGCCACACCTGCCTGGCAAGCACAAGGTCCTGAGTTCAATCCCCAGTGCTGTGGGCCGGAGGACTAGAAAAGAGAGATGAAAACAAAATCTGCAGCTCTATTTTCTGTCCTGAACACCTCTTAGATGTTGTAAACTTCCTGCCTTTCCAATCCTTCCTCTGATCCAGCCCTTCTCTAGAGCTTTCTTTAAAGGACCGACTTCCCCATTGTTTGCCCACAGCAAGCAGCTTGGTCTAGGCGCACCAGGCATGCGCACTGCGTGGGCTACACACCTGCCGCTCTCTGGGCCTCAAGGAAGGCCACCCACCCCTCAGCAGTGCAGGGTCCCCAGCCGGCAGGTGGCAGGCACCGCAACACCGCTGCCCACTCGGATCCCTCTTCCTCCCCCTTTTCCGGTGTAATTAGCTTTTTTGATGGGCGTTACACACAGCAGAGTTCATTCTTTCTTTATTTATTAACCAGGAATCGAACTGGGACCTTGCGCTTTTGCGGCGGGCGATGGAACGGCTGAGCTGAATCCCCGGCCCAGAGCTCATTCTTAGTTCCTTCAGAGCTGTGCGCACGGTCCCATTGCACCATTCCCAGAGAATCTCTGCGTCATCGTTCACAGTCACTCCGGTTTCTCCCCAGTTCTTCAGCCCCGGCAACCCCAACCCTCCTGCATCTTCTGTGTCTCCCAAGATGCCCATTCTGGACGCAGAATTTTGCCTTTTTGGTTGAGCCGAGCATTTATTCCAGCCAAGTTCAGATGCAGCCGCAGAGACCGGTGCTGGGGACTGAACTACCCAGGGCAGGGATTTCCTGGGGACTTCTCAGAGTCCTTCCCTGGGGGCAAGAGTGACACAGGAGCGAGGGGAGAGAACTAGAGGGAGCTCAAGTCTCCACGGTCCCTCCGCCCCTGTCCAGAAGGTGACATCCAGCCGGGTCCTGCTGTAATGTAGGCGGGGCCATGCAAAGGTGACTCTGGAGGCTCAGGTACCCCAGCAGGTGGTGGCCCAGGCCCAGCTGGGAGCTGGAGCCATCCGGGGTTTCCTCCATCATGTGTGGAAGGGACCTACCTGAGTGGGGAGGCTGAGCCGCTGTGCTTGGGGTGCTGTCCACCAGTCCCACATAGTTTGTGGGGTGTCGCTGTGGCACCTTGGCTCTGGGGCAGTCAGGCTTTTTAACACTCACAGCTCTGAGAGCGAGCCAGATGACCTGGATTTCACACCCTCAGCTCCACTCCCTGTGCTAGACCTTCTTGGTCAGGATGGTCAGAGCCCACCCGGATTTAGTGGCAGGAGTGCTAAAGAATTTGTTGCCACATTTTTTTGTTGGCTTGTTTTGTTTTTCTTGTTTGTTTGTTTGTTTGTTTGGTACCAGGGATGAAACTCAGGACCTTGTGCTTGTGAGGCAGGCGGCGGAACCACTGAGCTAAATCCCTAGCCCCCGTTGCCACATTTTAAAAACCTCCATGATACGCCAGCCACAGTGTGTCATGTCTATAATCCCAGCTACTTGGGAGGCTGAGGTGGGAGGATCACAAGTTCAAGGCCAGCCTGCACCTTAGGGAGACACTATCTCAAGACAAAATACAGACAGGGCTGGAGATGCAGTTCAGTGGTCACACATCCTAGGGACCTAGAGATCTCCCGCTGGCCCCGCCCCCTCCCAAAAGCCCCAGGCTGGGACCAGCACTGTCACTCAGGGGCCTGGGTTTCTGGGCCCATACCAGTGTTTAGCGCATGGGGAGGGACTGCTAGCCACCTCACTGTGTGATTCAGGCAAGTCACCTACCCTGTAAGCGAACTTGCAGCATAGCTTGGTGACTATAATATTGCCAGATTCATTCTTGTCCTCTTCTGTCTTCTTTGATTTTAATATTTCCTAGCCCTTAGTTTAATTTTCTTTCCCTCCGAATCTCAAACACATCTAGAGACCTCACAAGGAGATTCTAGAAAATCATTTCCATGCACCCTGGGGATCTTTATTGAGCATTAATGGAAATATGCACAATGCCATTTCTTTCCTTATTCTAATTTTTTCTTCTTCAGTATTCACAATGACCCAATTGATCTTTTCTACAGAGAATGTCTCTTCATCTATAAAAGAAGTTATTATGGTTTAGATCTAAAATATCCCCAGAGCCTGTTGTGGTGGCGCATGTCTGTAATCCCAGCACTTGTGAGGCTGAAGCAGGAGGATTACCTAGAGTTGAACCCCAGCTTGGGCTACATAGGGAGCCCCTGTCTCAAACAAAGGTCCCCAGAAAGCTTGTGTTTAGAGGATGGACTTCTGGGTGGTGACTGGATGATGAGAATTCATTGGTTAAGCCATTGGCGAGATCATAATTTGAGTACATTATTGGCAGGTGTTGGAAACAGGTAGCAGGGCCTCAATGAAGGGAGTGGGTCATAGGGGTGTGACCCTGAGCCCCCAGCCCTTTCCTCTTTCTCTGCTTCCTGGCTTTCCTCTGACATCCCCTGACAGCCTAAAGCCGTGGGACCAGCTGACCATGGACTAAAACCTCAGAAACCGTGAGCTAGTCTTTCTTCCTCACAGATCTGCCCACAGCAATGAAACGCTGACCACACAAGTCTAAAAACCTCATCCTGGAATTGGGAACCCAAGACTCACAGAAGTGGGCAGGTGTAGCCCAACTGGGTGCTCCTCCGCTTGGGGCTCCCCTGAATGTGCTGCACCGGTGATCCTTGCCTCTGCCAGCCAAGGTCAGCCCTGTGCACTGGGACAGCTCTGGAGACCTCAGGAGCTGCTGCACATCCGGGTCCACCTCCAGGGCTGCACTCCCATGCTTTTTGGTTGACACAGGAACAACTGAGCGATGTGAACCCAAGTTCATTTTCACTTCCCCCAACCCCAACCCTGCCCCAGGTCCCAAACTCTGAGAGTCCCCATGAAGGATAAGCTTTGGTCTAAGCTTGGGGAGTTGACTTAAAAAAAGAGGAAAGATTAAGATTTTAATTAACTTTGCTTTTTAACTACAGTTGAGCCACTGTTTTGAATCGAGTGGAGAGTGAGAACTCAGCAATTAATGACAGTGTGCAAAGATGATGGAAGATTAGCACGTTTAATTAGGCTTCTCTGTCCTGTGCTTTGAAAATAAAATACCAAGGGCACAGCTGGGCATGTTGGCCCGAGAGCTTCCGGTCCCAGCTACCTGGGGGCCAAAGCAAGGGACTGCTGGAGCTCAGGAGTTCGGGGCAGCTTGGGTGACATAAGGAGACCCCGTCCAAAAAAACAAAAACAAAAAACCAGAGCAAAACAAAATTGAAGGAACAAGAGGGGCACATTATGCAAATGAGCATGGAAGCTTCCTCTCTACTCCTTCCCTAGTATATAAATATTTCTCATTTACCATCCCACCTGTTTAATAACTGTTTCGATTTATGATCCACTGCCCACACCTAAACCCATCTTCTTTTTGTACAGTTCTGTACATCTTTATAGAGCCTCAATGCCTTTTTTTGTACGTATACCTTGTTTACACAGTACTATAATTTTTGCTGATTGTACTGTACAGTACAGTAGTATAGTTTTGTTCTGTTATACATTACAGTACTGCACATGAGTTTTACAAATAAAAGCAAAGTCATCACAGGGTGTAGTGGTGCACACTTGTAATCCAAGCACTCGGGAGGCTGAGGCAGGAGGATCACCCTGAGTTCGAGGCCAGCCTGAACTCAAAGTGAGACTGTCTCAGAAAAAAGCAAAGTCATCAAGATGGAGTTTCCTTTTCTTTGTTCTGAATATTATAATGTATGTACTTATCTACACCTCCTCATTTATCAGTTAGGGACCAATTCATTTAACCACATAGTAGCAGAGACAAAACTTGGTCCTTAAATGTAATTTAAAACAAACATTTACCTGGTTTGTTGCTAGTTGCCTCTAGCTTTTCCCTGACTTTAGCAGGTCTCATCTCTGACCACACCTAGGAATGCCTTGGCCCATTTGAGTAGGAGAAGAAAGCGAATTCAGCAGGGCTGGCATTTGGGAGATCAGTGGGCGGCTGAGGGAAGCCGAGGCTGCAACACAGCGAGGTGACCGGGAGGTGTCAGGAGAGGGACAAGGACAAATAAACCCTCTTAGAGGGCCCCTGAGCAGAACAAGGATGAGGGGCAGCAGGGATGCATTTGGTTTCCTATCTTACTCCGGGGGACTTTCAAGGACCTGCTCCATTGGCCATAGCAAGCAGAGGGACAGAAATCTAAGTTCTTTAATCTGATTTTTCACTGTAGTGAGACACACTTTTTTTATCCCCTAACCTATTTATATCCTCGCTGGTTTCAGAAGGGACTAAGGAACCAGGGCCGGGACTGGGAACTAGGAGCCTGATGTTTCTCCCTCTGCCCTGACTAGTTGTGTGACTCGGGCAAACCGGATCTCTTGGTGTCTGTCACCCACGCGGGACAGCACTTTCTGTACACACCACACTGTTCTAGAGACTTCCATGAACCTCATCTCACTAATTCCCTCCCCACAGCTCACTGTGCTCTGTATCTTTTCCAGAAGTTGTCAGCCTGGTCCCGCACATCTTTCAAACACAGGGATGTGACCTTTTGTGGCTTTTGCCATTTCAAAGACTCTGGGATTCTTCTGCCGGGTCCAGAGAAGCCAGTGGCTGACATCTCCAGTCTGCACTCCCAGCCAGGTCAGTGGGTTCCGCTGCTGTTGGGGATTTTGTCCTTGAGCTTGACTTCCACTAAGACCGGTGCTGGAGAGAAAGGGACGTCTCCCTCCCAGCCTGGAGTGCACTGCAGGATGGGCTGCATTTGGGAGCTTGTCTGCCTTGACTTTGGTGGCCTGGCACGGGTGTGGTGACATTTCCGGGTTGGAGCTGTGAGGATATCAACCCTCCGCACCTAGGTGGCAGATGTCAGCTCCCGGCCTGTCTGCCAGTCCAAGGTCCAGGCCCTGAGTACCAGCGATTTACTTCCGCTCCTGGAACCACACCCCCTCGGGCGGCCTGCCCGCACTCCACTGAGTCACCAAGTCTCAGGTGCTGTCCACCATCCCAAGGCCCAGGCCAGAGGTGGAGGGTGCACGGGTGGGCCCGACCCACCCAGGGATTTGTAGGTCCGAGCCCAGGCTGCCTCGCGCATGGCAGTGTGTGGACTCGAGGCCCATTACCAGCCCGCCTACGAAGCTGCACCTGTGTACAGAGTCTTCTTCAAGGGTGTGTGTGGCACCCGGAAATGACACAGGGTCATCCTGCCCTGGGTGCTAGGGACGCAGAGGTCGCAGAAGGCCGTGGGCAGCGCCCGGCCTGGAGACCCCACTTCGGGCTCCACCATCCCCTCCTCGGCTCGGGTCCCTGGGGTGCGCGGGCTGCGCCCGGGAGGGCCTCACCCGGAGCGGTTGGGAGCCCATCATACACCTTCCCCACCCACGGGACATACGTGGGAGGATCCTGGTCCTCATGGCGACTGTGCAAGGCCTCGGTCCGGGGCTGTGGACGGGAAAGGACCTTCTAAGGCGACACGGGCGTCGCAGAGAAAGTTCACGGGCTCGGGACGAACCAGACCCCCGCCCACGCCTGTGCGAATCGGGTCTGGACGCGGCGTGGACGTGGGGTGGCAGCCCGCGACCTCCGCTCTTGGGGTTCGTTCACCGCCA